CAATCAAAAAAATCACCTGGAAATGTTCTTCTGGTTTTTTACATCACATGGAAAATCTTATGCTTTAAAGCACAAAAGACTTTGATTTTAAATTGGTGAATTATACACAGCAACCACATAAGCAAAAAGAGAAAGGAGAGCTCTAAGCAACAGTCCCAAAAATTTCCTTTGTAAATGAAAACCCCATCTGGTCTCCAATTTACCTCACAGTGTTTGGTTTGCATCTGCAACTGAATGCAAAAGCTAATGCTTAGGAAAGTCATCATCTGAAGGCAGACTGTGATACTGTGACTTTGTGGGTATTTTTATATGTCAAGGAAACACCAGATCCCGAAGTATTCCTCCATATAAAAGTGGGGTTACCTGAGAGACCAGAGAGTCTCAAAGGCAGGAGACAACGGACTTAACTGGTGGAAGAAAAAAACAAGCAAGTAAAAACCCAGTCTTGCTACAGCTGTCAGACCAGATGTTTCAGCCACACATTGGCAAGTGATAAACTCAAGATTACAATTTGTTATGTATCCTTACCTGACTAAAAAAAGAAAACAAATTCTGGTGTTTCTAACACACTTTAGGATAACCACTATTTTGATATCTAGAAGTAAAATCTTACAAATCTGCTTTGTAGAATTTATAATTAAAAGCTTTTCCCATGCCTTCTTTTTTGTTACTGTAATGAACTTATTTTACAAACCTCGAAATCTGGATTACAACTGCAAAGAATGTCACACTTCAGCTAACGACAGAAGCCTAGTTCAGGGTAATATTAGCAACACTATGGTAAAATATTACAATAGAGACCATTTAAAGTTTATAAAATGTAACAGAATATATTAGAGAGACATGTGGGCTTAATTTTCCATTCATGCAGATGTAATTCCTTAGACCTCCGCATCTCACCTACAACTGTGTGCAAGAAGAACCAGGCCAATGTACTCTACAGAACAACACATAGCTTTGGGTGTTTGACCACCAGACTATAAATAGATTACAGTCTACTTAGGCTACAATTCAGTTCCAGAAGGATTTTAATCTCTGCTGTCAGTGGAAGCTGAGCTGAACCTTGACTCTTGAAATCACATTTGCTTTTTGCAAATTAATCTCTGTTACAAAATGAACAGAAAATAAGACGTTTATGTATGCACACCTATACATGTATGCTCATATGACAAAAAATTAGCAAACTCAATTTCTATTAGTTGTTATTAAATATCGAGACATTATTATGAGACAAGGGCTCATTACATGAATAATGAGTAATAATAACAATTAATTATTCATTATCTGAAATGTTAAATGCAGATCAATACCCATAACGGTTAGATTGAAGTGTTCATACCACTTGAACTGTAGGGATCTTCTGACCTCGAAACCACATGAACCAGAGGAAATCTGTTGCATTTAACTTAATTACTTCATTATGAGTGACGTAAGAACCAGGTCCAAAATGTACATATGAACTGGAAAGTATTCAGGTTCTTAGATACCTCAAGCAACTGCTTGGAGAGAAAAGTATTTGCTTACGGCATGAACACACATTCACACGTGTTGTTGAAACAGTTTCCAGTAACGGAACTAGTTTATCACAATGAGTGTTAATACTTTATTCCTTTTTCTGCTAATCCCATTTTCTGTTTTACTTTAACCGACTGCAAGATCGCTACAAAGTTTAGGGCCCTGTTGGGCTTTAAAGCTTATGTCAGTTTTCAGCATTTTTATAACTACAGCTCACATTGTGTTGGTTATTCTAAGAATCTGTTTGAAACCACTTCAGTTCAGTCCAACGCTAACCTTTTGCTGAAGTAGGGTCAATGGAAAGGTTTTGTTGAAGGAAAAGATAATGTATTAATAATTGGACTCCCGGTTAAATGCGTATGTAAATAAATATCTATGTTGTATCACATGCGCTAAGGGATCCGTTTAAAACCTACAATCATTAAGGTGGAGGTAACTTTTTTCCACCCCAGACCAAAACTTCGTTTAACTTCATTTTTATGGAGCTCTTGAAGGAGGCAAGGCTCAGTTTCATTTTAACTATGGGCCTGTTGTGGCTCATACTACAGCTCACAGCAGCCCAGCTGACCCCCAAATCACTGATTTGAAATTTAACCAGACTTGGAGTTGAGCCTTTAAATTATAAAGAAGATGAAATTTTTTGAAAAGAGGGGGATCCTCTCCTGTTACGGTTTCTGGGCTAGCTCATCCTCTGAACCCCTCTCTGGGACTGCAGGTTGTGGAAAGATTCACTGCTCCTCCTGCTCCTACTCCTGGGATTGCATTGCTGAGTCCTGCCTAAGAAAACGCTGTCTTAGCTCCTGTAGTGATCCCTGATCTGTCCCTCTCATTCCCTGGTCTCCAAGGTCCTCTGGCCGCCTTGCGTGTGTAATACCTGCTGTGCATGAGGAGCTGTGCTAGCCCTGCCAGCTATAGCATACATCTTACCCAGTGTATCAAACCACAGACTTTTATTTATGCAATATTATTAATATACTCCCTGGGGTGGCATGAACCCAATATGGCACACTGGTTTGGAGGATATTGAATTTATTTCCCATGATGGAAGAGGCCTTATCACTCACTTGGGGTTTTACACTACCACTGTACCCCAGACTGATGAGGTCATTTCTTTAAGAATCTCATTGCAACAACACTTGAAATAAAAGAAATGAAAGTTGTTTTTAAGAGTAATAACATTTTAATTCAACCATTTAAATCTAATGCTCTCAGCACTGAGACCCTTAGTCATCCCAGACCTCTACTAAAGTCAGTGGGGGGGGTTCCTCCAGAGAATGTGTACCCCCAATAGTATCTAAACATAAATCAGATAATTTAGTTTTCATGAAGGAGAAAAAATATGGAAGAAGAAATTGATTTGCTTTTTTGTGAAGTAGACAAACGTGATGAGAGTTGTCTGAAATGCAATAATTGAAGTACTGCATCACCACCGGAGAGAAGAGTAGGTCCTTTGTCAGTGCATGTGAATGCAGACCACCTGTTATTCCATAGCCTTGGTGTGGTTCCACTCATTTACTTAATGTCCAAGTCAGAGAAATGGGACTTTGTGGACTGATAAAAATCTAATAAGGAATAATTGGACAGGTTCTGTATGGTGACAGCATAACCTTCCAGCCAAGAATATTGAGTACCCCTGTCTTGCGGTGCTTTATATGTAGTAGTTTAATAGCCCCCCATACCTCCTTTAAGTGGTCTTAATTGGCCTTAAAATCAAGGTACCCAAAATGACAAGCCTCTTGTGAAATGCCTGGCCTATGTTATTTTGCAGCAAAAATGCCAAAAAGTTCTCTGCGTGTTCTCAAGGTACTGTACGACTGGTTAGTATCTCCAGCATCAGTCTCTCTGCTGATTAAAGGTCCTGTGCTGAGAAATTCCCTCCTCCCACAGACGTATTTTATAATACTTAGCACTCGGTGCTTTACACTATCAAAGCATTGCACGCATGCTATCTAATATCTCCTAATTAACTCATACATCTCCTATTAAAAAAGCATCTAAAATTAATGACATATGGTATCGCTGGCTTTTATACAACACATGCAAACTCAGCTTTCGGGTTTTACAAGAAACGTGGGTAAGCTGAGATTCCTTTCTGAAATCTGCCAAACACTTCGCCATATCTGACTTTCAACAGAGAGGAAATGAACAACGATGCAAATTGGTTCTACACAATTATTGATCAGGGACTGAATGCGCACACAAACACTAGCATGGGCAAGGGCAAATCTACAACTTTCAGAGTCAACGTTTTTGGTTCCTTAATGAGGTGCACACCAATTACATGGGTCTCCCACAGACTTTGCTCTCAAGACCTGTAGAATGCATGAGAAACAAGTAAAGTCTGTCGTTTTGGTATCCATCAAAGCTTTCCTCCATGTGAGGAAGTGGCTAATTTGTCATTTCACACTCAAAAAGGCGTGAAAGGCAAAACGGAGGGAGATTAGATGGAAGAGAGGAAGGGGGGGGCTGTGAATCACGAGAAGAGTCAGTAGGCTGATTTTGAGCTTGTGTTTGTTGCTGCATATCAGGAAAAAAATAAATGAAATCACATTGATGTAAAATAGACAAGAATGAGGCCAGTGTTTCTTGCTTATATGAAAAAATTTACACTAATAAAACCAAAATATGAACCAAGGAACAAGGAACACTTTACAAATGAAATTATGGTATATAGGAAATTTCTAACTTACAAGTTTTATTTACACATGGACATCTTTTGTTTTATTTAATTATAATAAAAGTATTAATTCCAACAATGCAAATTTTCAACTTAAAAATACATAAGACCTTTGGGAGAAAATCCCAAATAATACACACATCTGAGGAATGTCAGCTCTGTGTCAAGAGCACTGGTCTCAGCCACTAAATATTTTCCCTCATCGTCTTTCATTTTAGCTTTGTTGTTGTCTTTTATTTTTCTTTTCCTCTGCATAAAACAAAGCTAGCAAAGGGCCAGAGAAACAGTCAGAGTCAAACCTTTGGAGAGATAGGAGAGGTGCAGGCAGGAATCCCATTATTTGTTAATAGGATTTGTGCACATACCTCCCACTTAGGAAATTTACTCCCAAGCATCTTGGTGGCAGTTTCAGTTAGAGTCAACATTTCATTTCAGCAGATGTACTGCAAACTGGTGGCTACTCAAACTCTAATGAGTAACACTCGATAATTCCCCTCTCTTAAACTATGATTATGCTTTCTCTTTTTTTATGGGGAGAATGAATGTTGTCCCTAAGCCAATACTTAATTTGATTTTTTGCTGTGCCTCTCTGTGCTAGCAAACCCCACCCATGTGCCTGTATACAAGCCCAATGGGTAAATTAGTGGGTATTTTTGCAGATCTGTCACACATTTCTACCATTCTTCTTATTCAGAAAGATGCCAAAGAACTAGAAATACATCTGCCCTCCCCTGAAATGTAGCCACCTCTGGGGTGGACTGTGGCAGCAAATATTGACATGGGAACACGGACACTAAATCTTATCTGAAAATTATGCAGGAAGTACAGAACACAGCTCACGTAGCCTCAGGCTACCCAGAAACTAGCTAAAAGTGTACATATTTCTTTTTAATGAATGCATTTGAAATTATTGCCTGGTGTGTGGTACTCCAATAAGGAACGTCTCATTTGGTATCGGATCCCATTGTACAGTCTCATACAGATTAATAGTGATGGTGAGTTATCTGATTTCAATAAGAAGCAGTACTAATTCATAGGCAAGATGCCCAAAACCAGAACACAGTATTTTTTTTTTTTCATGGAAAATGTCCTTTCTTTAAATAGCATTTACAAACTACGTAGACGGTGGCCTGGCTGGCTCATGGTGCCTTCGGTTTCGCTTTTTTTTCATCTCCTGCACATGCTTCCATTTGGCACCACCTTTGTTCCGCTGCCGCCGCTTCTCCCGGTGCCACATCTGTTCACAGTACTCATCCAGGCTAAAGCTGGGGCTGCTGACGAGCTGGATGTAGTCCTTGTACCTCAGCCGGGACTCTGTCAGCAAATCCCTCACCCGGCCCTCCTCGTCCTCAGTTTTCTGAGTGCTTTCCATTTGCCCATTCTCAATGACATTTAAATTCAGCTTCACAATGGTGTGGACAAAGGTGTGCTCCTGGGCTTTGCAGAAATAGGCTCCTGCATCTTTTCTTTGCAAGCTGCGGATCAGCAGCCCGTGCTCTGTTTTGATGATCCTTTCATCAGCCTTCAGCTGTGGGGTTAGACAAAGAAGATTGAGATACGTGAGTTTCATCGGCAAAACCGGAACGCGCGTCAGCGCAATACTGAGGTGGAGGAAAGGCTCGGCTGGCACAAGGCATGCCCCATCCCTCAGGTGCCAGCACACGGTGGGGCAAGTGCGGCTCAGACGGATACCAGGAGATCCTTTCAATGTCTGAGTTTTGCTCCTGACTATAGCATCTGTATCACTGACATTTCAGCCTACAGTAGTAAAAGATACACGCTGTACAGCTGAAAGGACACAGTAACGCTCATCACACCAAACTGCAGTAAGTTTGTTATAATAACAATCATAAGTTACATTCTCCAAGGAAGGGTAGCCATTTAGTACCACAAATGCCATTCATTTTTTAACTGCTCTTCTTGAGGTATCCGTAATGCACCCAATATACCTTGTATATATCTGGAGTGCTGAGAACCTATTACACTGAAAATAACTACTACTACCGATTTTCAAAGTGAAATGCTGTGATTCTGATCTTCTTCAACTGGGTTTTACAAAAGGAAGTTGATCCTGGCTTTGCCTCACTGAGAAGTGATTAAAAGCACCCAATGAGGTTAGACAAATACAACCCAGTACAATTCTTTTATTGTTAAGATCTGTGAAGAAGAACTTAGAGAAAAAAAAAAGAAAAAAAAAAAGAAAAAAAAAAAAGCAAAGAAAAGAATGAGATTGCAAGTGAGAGCTGAAGTCTGTCAGCATGGAACTGTAATTTCATTTATGAATGGAAATATTTCAAAAAATACAGCAGGACTCTTATGTTAAAAATAATGTGCACCTTAGAGTAATAACACTGTCAGGTAAGTTACATATCTGGTGATCTGAAAATTATTTCCAAAATAACCTAAGTCTAAAAAAAAGCATAAACCCCCCCAGAAAAAACAGGGTAGGGCACTGGGCACCTAAGTATTTTTGCAGCTGAGGAACATAGAAGGTAAGTGATTTGCCAAAGACCATATAAAGATTAGTAGCAGAGGTGGAAGTAGAAAGCAGAGCCCTAACTCCCAGTGTCCAACACCAGCATTTCCTTTGAAACTGATCCTGGTCTAGCCCAAAGCTGTCACCTCCCAGGCGTGCTATGTTCTGCTGCCACGCAGAGGCTGCAGCACACAACGGCACCGAAGGACCTGGCGTGCTGCTTGCTCAGCCTGCAGCAAAGCCAGGGCCTTAAACACAGCCTCAGCACTGCTGGTGGCATTGTTATAATGTAGAAAAACTTCAGCACAAGGCTGAGTAGTGGGTTTAAGAAGGGGGGAGTGGGGGCAGAGAGAACCAACACAGAATCTGGAAAATTTCCCAGAGTGCACATCTGACCCTCCAGCAAACTTCAGAGGATGAAGATCAGGGAGGCATAAAGATGACTAAATTAGATTTATTCACAGTGGGTAAGCTACACACTGTTTCTTTATGTAAAAAATCTGCACATGATTCCCTCTTCTACTCCATGGGAAAAAATGTACACATACATATAGTTCTCCATCTGTTATGATTCTAACTCACTAGTACTTTATCATAATAGGGTCTCTTGGAGCAAAGAGATGGATGAAATGATCTCCTAGGGCTTTTTGGTTTACCCTTTTCTAAGTTTCTATGATACTGACATTGGAAGGGTTAAATAATTTGAGGGACCATTTAGAGATCACCAGAAAAAGCAATACACATATACATAATACATGCACAGAGAGAGAGAGAGACTTTGGCTTGCTACTGTATCAGCTGTAGCAGTCTTCAGTAACATACAGATTAGGTAGGTAGGTATTTAGGTAGGTAGGTACGTAGGTAGATGGATAGATAGATATGTGGATGGATGGATATAGGCCTGTGTCCTACCATTGATCTGACTGCAGCAGAGACAAGAAATCAACTGCTACAAAAGCCTGGTCAGAACGTGGCTCTGGCTGCCTGGTTCTGTGGCCAAGTATTTTTTGGCTCCCACCACCAGTTGATGGGGTTGGGTGAAATCTGAGCTGTAGTTTCCTTGTTTGTAAACTGTAAATAAGCATGCCTACTTGGCACCAACAGGGTGAAATCACAGTAATTTCAGGAAATTCCTGGAAAATCGATTGTCCTGACAACAGGTGCTACATGAGCAGAGGCTACTTTTGATTTACTACATTGAGTTTAAACCAGAGAAATCATGATCAAAACACAAGCACATACACAAAAGATAGCAGGGAGACAGACTAGAAAAGACCACTTTTCTACCTCCAGAACCTACAGCACAGGGCAGTAGACCTCAGTTTTATCAGCTGGTGACACTTCATTCCAAGTAAACGTACCTTTCTTACAGTAAAAACAGGAGCACAAAATGTATAAATGAATCCACAGATAAGTAGGTATAGGCAGAAGTATGTCTAGGGCAGGCATTTCCATGTGGTGCTGTACTCCACAGAGAGAAGCTGGAGCAGGGGCTTGGCTGTTGCAACATGAAAAGGAAGCCCCTCTTTCTTTTGCCCAGGCTTCATGTCAACATGAAGACCCAAGTTTGAGAAATTTAGGGAAAAGGATGGGAAGACGCAGCTAATTTCCAGACATTTGGGTTTCATAAGGCACTATGCAAAGACCAAGTTCCCACATTGTCTGAGTGAAAACAGGACCGATCTCTTTGAGCTCAGGGCTTGATGCAATTGCAGCAGTAGCATCTGCCTATCGGTGGCTCTGCCAGTATTGTAGTCTAGAGCGCCTTGACAGCTGTGTACCTCCTACACTTGGAAGATCTCCAGCTGGCTGTTTCGGCTGGCTGGGCGCCAGTCCAAAGAGCCCTTACTAGTGCTTCGCCTATTTTCAGTGAAAGGAAGGCAGAATAATGGCAGATCTAGACTTGAAAAGATCACTGGACCCCCAAGTCCAGCACCCTGCTACTCGTAACTATTTACCAGTTGTGTAGCAGCCGTCGCTTTCTAGTCGTAAACATGGTAACTGATAGAGTTGCCCCCCCTCTGCCTTGGGATACCGCAGAGAAAGCTAACAGAGTCTAAATTGGTTGTGTCCCTTAATCCCAGTCCATCACGACTCCTATTTTTAATGAAGCAGCATTCTTACAGAATGTCCTGTGTTAACCTTGGGTATTGATTTATGGTGACTGTCACCTCCTCCTTCTCTGTGCCTTCATTGTTCATTCCTTTCTTATCCTCTGGCAGGATGAAATTATGGCTCCGATTTCACATGTATTGAGCAACACTTCATTACTGTTTTCCCCCCTCACTTCTCTTTTTGGTATCCTGTTTATGTTGTTTTACCCATAGGTTCAGAACTCTTCCTGTCTCTCCTCACTACTTTTCCCCCCACAGGGCTCTGGAGTTTCATAAACACCTGGCATTTCATTACTTGGTAGTAGATCTTTAACCTTTCACTTGAATGCTTAATGTGCTCTTTGGTTCCTGACCTATGGATGTAAAATATATTTTATTAAATTTTGAGGAAACTGAAAAGACTAGTTAGATAAAAGACATCATTTTGTTTTGGTCAGTTGTGGATTCACTGCCCCCCCCCGCCCCCCCCCAAATATGTCATAATCAATAATTCTCCTAAAATATTTGTAAATAGGATTTAACAATTCAGAAGCACAAAAGCTTTAATTCATAAAAGCTTGCTGACATGTGCTTCAATTTGAGCATACAATAAAAATTAAACATGAGAGACATAGTTTTGTTCAATAGGGAACAAATTATGAACCACAAAAATAAAGCAATAGATTATCATTAACTTTCTTTTCTTAGTGGAGTGGGAGCAGATTTCTGACACTATTTTATCAACAAATTGTACTTTTCACCCTTTGTGATAAGCACATAAGTTTGCCTAAAATTACATTACCTGAATTATGGCACATGCCATAGATACTGGCAATATTTGACAAAGGGAAAAGATTTCCATGCAAATCAAACACTTGATTTTCACAACCTGAATTTAACAATGGAGGAAAAATAGGCATTGCCAATAACGATGGCAAATCTTTAAACAATCAGTAAGGTGGAAAACAACCAAGGATTTGAAAGTGCTGTGGCACCAGGTTAGGTCAATGCCTTTTGTCCTTTGCTAATGATGTGTTTAGATAGCTCCCTCTTTACAAATAATTCACATGTCAACTCTTTCACAGTTAAAACACTGCACCTGTCTGGGAGAAGAAAGTGGCTTCAAAGCCTGCCTTCCCTCATTAATCAACATGTGAAAAAATGTTAAAGGTAAAGCTGGACTAATCATGGTTTAGCTGCAACCCCTGAACAAATTGCGAGGAGGAGAAAGGAAAATGAGGAACATTTGCTGAGAATTCACATTCGTCTTTGTTTTTCTATTGTTTTCTTCTTCATCCTCATCATTTGACTGGAAATAAAGATCATTCTGGGGTTTTTTGGCATTATTGTTGCACATGACTTTGTTTCTCTCATACTGGGAAAATAATCATTTAACTCCAACACAGCTGTAGAGATAATTTCTCTCTTCTTTTCTTTTTTTTTTTTTTTAAACATCTTTTTTTATTTACCAGGAAGCCACACGAAAAATGAAGAACATGTTGCTGGTACAATGTCATTATGGAGATGTATGATTCCTATTATTTTCAAGGTGAAGCTAACTTCTTATTCTGAGACTAAATTTTAAACTCCTACCACCCCAGTATATCCAAATCAAAGCAGAAATGTCATGTGCTGTATCTCAGTTCAGAGTTGCTTCTTTTTTTCCCCAGGAAACTGTCCAAAATATTAGTCTTACTTAGGAATCTCAAAGTATTCAGGAAAAAAAAACAAACAAACAAGAGTCATATAATAAAATAAAAGAGTGAAAGCATGAGAGCTATAAGTTGTCCCTAGACTGCGGAACGAATCTTCTCTTAGTTTTCCTCCTCTCGAGCTCTTTCTCATTGACCTAAGGATTCAAACACTGAGCTACACTCCTCTAACAGAAGGTACTACTGGAAACTCAGACCCTGGTGTATGTCCTTTTCCTTACTCAGTTCTCATCCAACTCTTAGATTTTAGGGCTGGCACTGAATCTGTGACCTTTTTCACAAGATTCTGCTGACCAGATGTTTGTAACAAAGAAAATCGCCATCATGATGCAAAAATCTCCAGCCGCAAAAAGATATGGAAACATGACTTGGATAGACTGAACAATGTCTTCTCAGTCTGGCTAAAATGTGGAATGGAAACATCTTTTGCTCAAATGGGGGTAGGTCACACTCTTGTGCCTAGCAAGATGTCCTATCCAAGAGAGAGTCACGCTTTTGTAACTACCAAAACATCAGATGCTCGTTAAGCTGGGTCTATCAGAAAAAAACAGCCCAGGCTGTGGGGCAGAAATATGGAAAAGGTGAGAAGTGCTGAAGAAGAAACTGGAATGTTCTCCTGCCTTTTGGTGGATTTATTTTCACCCCCAGGTATGAATAGAGCAGGAAGGAGAGAGTTAAAAGCGATCTGCACCTATTCTGTCCCTTCAGACCATATGGTTTGTTCTGTCCCTTGCAAGGGGACGTGGCAGCTTGGCAGACCTGGAGCCGCAGGAGACTCGGGGTGAAGGGAAGCCTAAAGCAGGGGGACTAATACTTTTCAGAGCCATGTGGCACCAAAACTAATGGCTTTGTAGGGAGCCATGCATTTTCTTTTTGCAGTCCTGACACCTATTATATACATAACATAACACATAGGAATTTCTTTGAGAAATAAATACATATCTGTTTTAAGCTTCAGAAAACTTCAGCAGTTTAAGTCATTACGAACAGATGACGTCCCCACTTTTTTTTATGAGCTCCAGCCACCGAAATGCTCTCCCTCATCTCAGTGACTAAGCCTGCACATACAGGAACATGATCAATTGTGTGAGCAACACTAAACACAAAAGCACTAGATATTTGACTCCTGACCTTAAAACGGCCCCAAACTACAGGGAAATGTACTCCCACTGGCAGCAAAATGACCTGGTGACAGCTCCTGTACCACAGGAGATCCTGTCCCTCCCCACAGGTTGCTCTGCCTGGAAGTCACATTCTGAACCATGACCCTAAGGGTGAAATGTCGGGGACATCCTGCTGGGCCAAATGCTTCCCAGCTAGTCTGGATTTTGCCCTTTTCCTTCCCTCAGGAAGCTGTAGTGCATGTCCGGGACACTGCATAGCCATCTATTTGTAAAGCCAGGTTTAAAGACTTGCTGAGACATTACAGTTCCAGCCCTGGAACTAAAAGTCCGTAACCTAAGTTCCAGGTGCATGGAGTCATTTGCAAAGCATGGTATCGTCATCACAATAAGTTACACCGCTAAGACATGCACTAAAATAATGTACAGTGTTATTTGAGAAATCTGCTGCAGGAAGGGAGAGAGAGAGCAGAAAATATAATTGTAATGGGAAAAGTTATGGTAAGGCATGGGCTGAGCAAAGATCAAACTACACGTTAAACATAAACATTCTGTCACATACGGTATTTTTGTCAAATTGAGGTACTTTGAGAAGAAAGTCAATTACTCTGCTGATCTTTGGATTTTCTAGGAAGGCCTCCAATTAGGCTCTAATACCAATGAATTCATTTTCACTGATAAGTCAGATTAGAAAACCTGAAAATCTCAATTTCTGGATCCCCAAATTAACAAAGGATTAACATTTTAACCTGCAAGTATCCTTATTCTACCTAATAGGAGGGATGATTTTTCAGCATCTCTACAGACCCGGTCATTTATTTAAGCAGCTATATATGAAATTAGGAATTTAGCTTTAGGTACATGCATTTGAAAATGTGACATTTCTAGATTAATATCTTTATCTTAAAAAGTAACTAAAAAAGCTTCTTTTTTTTTTTTTTTTCCCTTCTAAAAATGATATCTCCCAATATGATTATTTGGGATGTGCAAGCTCAGTTTGCTCAGAAGGAGTTCAAGTTCTTAGGACCCTGGAACCAACCTGGGTCAAAATACAAGAAATTCTGTTATTATAAGAATTTTCTGGCAGGAATCAAACAAAACTAATAGCTATACACTGTCTTGAAGTGATCTGATGCTGTAATCATCAATGTGTGCATATGCATTTATATAGGCTGTTATTTTCAAAGACTGCAAAAAAAAATATAAAAATATACTAACAAAACCACCCCAAGGAGTTGCAGAACATGTGCTCCGACTTCTATTTTATCAATGCTAGATCACGGAAACACTGCTATGGCTTTAGGGACGATATGTGGTAAAAAGCTATTTGCCTACTGTTAGCACTCATAATGTAGAAAATCTGTCTGCAGATTTCTCCTTCAAATTTTCTTCTAAATTTGCCTCAAAGGTTAATCTAGCCTTTTAGCAAAGCTTTACTTTTCTCATACAAACAGATGTCAGACTGTTTACACAGAGCAAGCTCAGTAAACATTGCTGTGGAAGGCTGCTAATGTGCAAAGATATATGCCGTGTGCTTGCTGGAGCTTCAAATGCCATCGCACATATGCACGCACTCCCTTTCTCTCTCTCAGCGTGCACATCCTTGGCACGTTGGGCAGTTGTTGCAGTATTGGACATCACCGTGCCTGGGTAACTGGCATTTGGCCCAGGACAAGTAGCAGGGGCCAGGTCACCGCCACAATGAACCTTTTGGATATACAAAGCGTGGCAAAAAATAATGTAGCCTTAACTTAGGCTATGCTATATAGCTTAGCCTGCCCTAACTTTGTTCTGCAGTTGACCTGCAGTTTGTTCTACAATTAAATAAGAAAGATAGCTTGAGCTTGGCTTCCTGACCTTCAGAGGCCTATCTGAACCTGTGATTTATGAGAAAATCGACTGATATTTTTTTTTCCCTAAATTGACACAGATAAAACTCAAAAGCAGCCCTTCAGAAAGAGGCTTTCAAATCTTGAACGTGTGACTTCTTATGATACAGAAATATTACATTCTTCACAGGGAACTGGCTGCTTTACACAAAGTTTGCAGCTCTTTTTGAGAAGCTCAGGCACATGCTATAGTTGCAATACATTATTTTAAAAAATGATTGAGTCTCCTCAAAACTTCCCGTTCAGAAAAAAAGAAAAAAAACACACCAAAAAAAAAAAAACCAAATCAAAAACCTGTTAACTATCTGCTTGAATTTACTTAAAAATGAGTCTTAAACACATGGTTAGAATTAAGCAAGTACTTTACTTGTTTCCCTGATATGTAAGTGCGTTTACAAACTGCTGCCTTAGGGAAGTAGAGCGCAGAGTCTTTTGTACAGGACAGTTAAAGGTAAATCAATTAAAGCACAAACAATGAATGCTCATAGGTCTTTAAAGGCTGATACGCTTCTAGGTGGGTTTTCACTTCAACCACCTGTGGCTGAGAGCATGCTTGGCCAGCTGATCAGAAGATCACTTTTTTTTCCCAAGTATGGACTGTAATGGAGGTTAGAGGTGGTATTTCAAACCAGTAATCTCTTTCTTTTGGTGTCTAGTGCATGTTGTGGGAAGCACTGTGTCTATAAATTAATGAAGTTTCTATTCTCAGCAGAGGAAATAATCTTTGCCAGTCCAAAGCATGAGTAAGAGAAGGGGAGTAAACTAAAAGTACTGCAGTGTCATAGGCAATATACAGCCTTGCAGGTTTTTTTGTCTTACCTGGTGGAAAATGAGAAGTGCCTTGTATACCCTTACTTTGGCTTTCTGGGCCAAGCCATAACTGGGGTTGCAACTTTGGGACTACTGCCATGAGTCACATCTCACCCAGAGGTGATGCTCTCATGGGCACCAGCCCTGGCCTGCATCTCCCCAGCCTTTAGAAAGGACCAGCACATTTTCTGCACTCAGAAAGTCTCATAGGATGAATTATCATTGGGAGTGGAAGACCAGTTGGGTGTTTGATAGTTCCTGTCATTTAAACTAATTTTTGTCTCGGATGAACATTTAACAAAAAAGCATATCTAACACCTGGGATCAGCTCATTTGAAAGGGCAGTTCTTTTCCCTTCTCCTTCCCCGTTGCAACGGTTGCCATCATGGCAAGACTTGGCCTTAGACACAAAATCACTCCTGTAAGAGAAAGGCTATGAAAACTGCTGAGGTTTGAAACTCACTCAAACCCAGTCCAAATCAGTCCCAGCACGTTGACTTTTTGGGCACGTCAGAGGGGCCCTTTGTCACTAGCTCAGAGAGAAATCAGCAGGACATTGTGCAGGTGGTATGCCGGGACCTGGAGGCTTCTCCAAGGCTTCTCCACCAGAGAGGACCCCAAACCTGCCTCCTGCAGGAATTAAGGGCCATCACAAGCCTCACCACTTTCTACTCCAGAAGCAAGGTGCAATTCTTTAACCTGACATCTCTGCATCAGTGCAGAGTGCCATTTAAGAAAAATTCTGAGACACCACTAACACGAAAAAAAGCAAATAAAAAGCTTTTTACTGCACAGACTGTTTCTTCTCTGAGGAGAGATGGAGAGAAGCAGCAAACCATACGTGCGATTCTTAGCTACACTGGTTAACATGATAAGGGAATATAATCAGACACTAAATAGAGCAGAGATTTTATTAAAACAAAGGGTTTTGAACATGCTTTTACCTACAGAAGTAGTTGTGTTAATTACTGGACAAAAGGGGTTTTTTTTTTCACTACTTTGATTTTTTACCACTATTTAAAGCCTAATTTATCTTTTCTTCTTTTTTTTTTTAACGAATGAGCATGGAAGTCAAAATAAATATCTAAATTTGCTTATGATACAGTGCAAATGGCTTCTCTCTTCCCCACTGCATGCCCCAAATGGTGATACCAGAATGCTATGTGATACCTAAGGTGAGGCAAGGAAAAGTAAAACATTGAATAATCCCAGTAACTCCTGCCTTTCAATGCTCAGCTGAATTCTCTATAGAGGAAACTTGCCTTGATGACTATAACTTACCTCTTCTCGATGTTCTTCTCCAGAGCGCTGAATGTACCACCTAACAGAGGCTTGCTGGGACTTAGGAATACATTCCAGAAAAGTTGAATTAAATTCAATGCCAAAAATCACCTTTTCATCAGCAGTTTCATGACTAATGCCTGGAAAGCAAACATGGTACAGGAGATTAACCCTGACCCGGTTTTTAAAGCAATGGGAAAATAGCCTGATTCAGAACAGATGCTATAAGAGTGAGTGAATTATAAAAAAGCAAAAAGAAACTTAACTTTTAGCTTAAACTATAACTATGAGGATTTAGAGGCGGCTGCTAACCTTCCTTCAGTGCAACTGGTTTTTAAGGAGGTCAATAAAATCTGTATCATGAGCTTGCTCCATTTTAAAGTTGAGGCTTTCCCTTTGAGGAATTTAAAATCTGACCTGTATTTTTCCTTAAAGCAACACAACTACTAAACCTGAGCTAAAGCTACTAAAGGTAGATTGTACCGTCTGGTTTATTCATCCCAAACACTTTGAAGGAGTCACAGGGCTAAAGTAAACTTAAGTTTACCTTCCTTCAGTATAATTTGAAATGCTCTGTAGTATGTTTCAGACCAAACACTGAAGGAGCCATGAGCAGATCTGGGCTCCTTTCTTGGCCTTCCGTAAACCTGAGCAAGTAATTTCCAATCTCTGCATCTCCATTTCCCTTTCCAGTCTGTCTTATCTGTGTCTTATCTGCCTTACCATCGGACTAAAGCGGTTTCTTACGCCCTGCCAATAACAGAAAGGAAGGTGAAAGCAGTGGTGTCTCCTAAATCAAAAGTTAGCTCAACAACAAAATGAATACAGTTTTGGATTGTTTTTTCAACATAATAAGTACCTATATGAGATCTGTAGAAATTCAAGCTCTCCGCATTAAATGCTTTTCTTTTATTTCACTGTGCCACTGAGATTTTGGTAGAGCCAAACAACTTCATGCAGCCAATGAAGTCTCTGGGAGGGAATCTCACACAGTGGAGCACTGGATTTAAATAGGTTTTGGGGCCATAATGTTATTAATTATCGCAAATGGCATAAATAAGCCAAGAGCCTGGAGTGGCACAAGTCAGCTTCATGGTTTTATGTCACACAGGGGTCATTCCCAGCTGGATAAAATTTCTACTGGTGGTGCTATATCAGGGCAAAAGATTAATACCAATTTCTGTGCTAAGTCATTTTACATTTGTCTAGTAAAGCCAACTCTTCCAGTATCTCTTTATCCTTCCAGGAAAATGTGACATTGTCAGCCTTTCTGTTAGGGTTTCTATAACCTTGAGCTTTTGCACAGTCTCAGATACCACTATTTGGAGAGCCATGGTAAGCAGCAAGCAGGGAAATTCTGGCCCTTTGGGAATGAACGGGAGTTTTGTTGTTGACTTTAATGGAAATGAGATTTTAGCCTGACTTTTAAACTATGTCTGCAAGCACACATGTACAGTCAGAGCCCTCTGTACTGTGCAACAGACTTAAGTCTTTGATCCTGTGGCAAGCAGCTCTGATTTCTGCAGTGACTCATGCCGAGATCTGCGGAAGGCATCCAGCACCACAGCGGCACGAAAATAACCAGGGATCAATGGAAAGTGGTGGCTCGTCCCGAATCAAACGCTCGGCATAGCGACACAATCAATACTATTTTGACTGGGTTGTTCACTTTAATAAGCGGCTAGAAGAGCTCCAGACAAACCCAAGCTTGGTTTTGAATGCTTTTCATTTATTTTACGCTGCCGCAGAGATTGCCGCGCAACCGCAGGATTTCATACTGACAGTGCTCGCTGTACGAGAAGTGCTGCAGTTGCCAAAGGAGCAAGCCAGACCCTTTGGCATCTGAAAAGAGGGTGTGGGAAAGGGAAGGGGGAGCCGTCGGGGAGAGGGGGGCTAGGCTCTTGTTAATAACAGGAGTATTTAAGTAGCTGCAGGGAGGGGAAGGGGCTGGTTTGGCAGCTGGAGCTGGGCTTTGGGACTTGTGTCAAGTGTATGCGGCGGAAGGGGAGAAGATGGCATGTTCCCTGTTCGCCCCTGCGGGTTTCCTCACGGGATTATCTTCCCTGTTTCTGGATGAACGGAGGTCCTGGTAGCTACTTGTAGGGGGGTGTTTGATGTTTTTGTGCCACGGGCACATCTTCCTCCCCTGGGTGAGTGCTGGGGAGAGTCACTTGTAAGGGATGCGAGGGTGCTGTCCCATGCTGGCTGCCCCTTACCAGTCCCGGCTCCCCAAATTTAACTGCAGGAGGGGTAATGAATATGAAATGTGGGAAAAGCAACCACTTTAACGGTGTTATTCTGTCAGGCTCAGCAGGTTTTCGCAGATGGAGACCCTTACAGCAAACTCTGCTGTCAAAGTGACTGAAGAGCAAGAAAGGTGCAAAATACTCACTGTCTTCCACATCCCAGCATTGTGCAACGGGATCTCCATATTTGACATCTTGCCTTCTGGCTCGCCTATGGGAAGAGCATGCAAACTTGTAACACTTCAGGCATAATTGCTGGAATTCAACAACAAAATACAGAGGAGCTCAGCAGATGTGGACTCACACTGCTCCCACCCTACTGCTGACAATTACGGTCTTAACTAAAACCAGCCTCACCCTCAAAGCAGCATGTGGCCTAGAGAGATTTGTACAGTTGACATCAAGAGAAGGGCCTGTGATTTGGGAAAACCACTGGGAGGGGAAAGAGAAAAAGGGAGAGAAAAAAATCTGGCTAGAATAAAGAACGTGCAATATAGTGACAGAAAGAGCATCTAAACCTGCTTTAGGAGCATTCGGCACGGATCTCCTGGTGGGGTGGACTGTTTTGGAAACACATAAAAACATCCTTAATGTTGTATGTCATGGAAAAGTTCTGAGGTTCAACAGGTGATATTCAAAATTGAGCTCAGGATCAGCCCAAGGCAATACTGATTAGTAAACCAACCTTCAAAATGAAGAGAGAAAAGCTTATGTTTCAATTTGGTAACAAACAATTGACAAATCTGATTATCTTTCATCTTTATGGACAGCAAAAAAGCTTGAGACAATGGTCTGAGATGGTCTGCTTCCTTCCACAACTAACTTGCCTGCTAATCTCTGGGTGTGTTACTTAAACTTACTGTGATTTAGTGTAATTTCAGTGTAATAGCATTTTAAAAAAAAAAAAAAACAAATTCTTCCTCTGTGGATGATTGCATTTATTTCCCAAGAGCTACAAAAAAAAGTTTGTATTTAAATTTTTTAGTAGAATAATTGGAGTCCAAGTGAGGCACTGGTTCCTCCCTCACAGCCACACTGGAGATAACAGGAGTGGGACCTCCTTGTGGAGAGCAATGCCTCCGCAGGACAGCGGGTTCCTGAGGCTGAGCTGTCCACTCTGTAAAAGCTGTAGTAGACATGCTAGAAGCACAGGCTGCTACACAGAAGAAAAATATTCAAGTAACTGATCTACTGGAGGATTCCCAAGGCCGGTCACCCATCTTCTGTTTTGGAGCTGCAGACTTTTGGCTTTCTCACCAAACTGCACATCTGTTAAAAAGCATGGACCATCAATCTCCATGTCTCAGCCCACCTCAGGCTTCACCAAGCCTCATGTGTCACTAACTTTGCAGTGAGCCTGAACACTTGCTTTTCTCCTTTCATTTATGCTTCTCTGAATTTAGTTTGCTTTGGCTTTGAGGGAAAACACATAAAGTTCCTTGACACCATGACACGATAACCTATGAGTCATTAACTTCAATGGTTTGTCTAATTGCTCAGGTCCCAGCCCTGCAGCCCCTGAGGTAGAAAGTCTCATTCCAGAGCCTGAGCTCAACCTGCAACCTCCGACCCTCACTGCAAGAATTACTGTCAGGAAGGCTTTGTCCAAAGGGGAATGAAGAGGCTGTGAAGGACTCTGGCTCAACAAGCGAGCTCAGAGTTCTGGCTAAATCAGCCAAAACCTCCAAGAGACACATCCAGCAACTCAAGTATTGCATTGTTAGAGCCTGCAGCATGCTCTCCTTCCATGCAGATTCATGCTGCTGTCCTAGCTGGTGAGTAGAAAAAGTTCAGATAAAGCTTCTTTCACTGTCGAAAAATTGCTCCCGATGAGGTCAAATCACAGTACTTAAATCTCTGTCTCCCTCTCATGGCTAGACCACAAATACAATCAATGAGAGTGACAGTCTTTGAGCCAAGTTTTCTGGGTTAGTTAAATCAGACAAGAGAAGCTTGTTCGTTTAGATCAGGGAATTAAATGTATTTTATTACTGACCACACTGGGATACTATGTTAAACTCCGCTTTATAACTATGGTGGTGCCCTACGCAAAAGGCAGAAGCTTAAGAGAGGCTCTTGCATCTCAGGCAGAGTCAGCCACAACCTGGACCTCCATCTGAGCATCTCATGCCTTAAAGCATTCGGCATAAAAAAGGAAAGTGATGGATTTATGATGTTAGCTGCAGTAGTCGAGTTACTGTCACACACACTTAAACAAAGCTGTGTTGTCTTCACAGCTCTTTGAGCAGAAATGTAAAACACGGCCAGAGTATGATCAAATTTTAAGGCAAATTGACATGCTAAGTAAAAAGGCCACACGTTCTGACTGGGAACCTCTAAAATTCTTGCAAGCAGCAAGAACTTTGACAGCACATTGTATTTTTTTTTCTTACCTTTTAGAAGTGGGGGCATATCTGGAACACGAGTTTCCGTCCCAGGCACAGTATGGGTCTCTGGCAAGGCAGCAGTCTGCACAAGCCTTCCCATACGTGTGACATCTGTGCAGAGAGAGCTGAACCAATCCATCCCTGGAACCAATGTACAATTGTTGCTGCAAATCAGGCAAAGCAAATGAATTAGGAGCGTTCTCCAAGTAGCCCATTTAAAAAGTTCCCTTCCTCAGTGCCACACTTGCAGACTTTCAACCTTGTCCCAGATTTTACAAAACGAGGGAGAATTCCTCCTTTACTGTAAAATGTTTCTCAGGGCTCAGTGTGAACTGGCCAGTCCCCATCAATCCCTGACTACACGGCAGAGAGGAAAGGGGACTGCAGTCCTGGAAAGACACCAGCACTCAACACCCTTACACCTTTAGATTTGTGCTGTAATAAGAAATCAGAAGCAAACCATGGAAAGAATGGTTTAATAACACATTTAAAAACAAGTGGCTGGATAGCCGTGACGTTAAGAATCTGGGAACTAGGGATGACCTTGTGTGAATAAAACTTCATCTTCTGCTTCTGATCCTTAGGTAGGATGGGGATAATATTACTCCCCTCTCCCCAACGTGTGAGTAGATTGCCTGCTGAGACAAGGGTGGTCCAAGTGCTTGCTGTTGAGCCTGAGCTGGCTCATGCAATACTTCCAGCTGGCCTGCCACCTTTTTTCAGGGGAGATGGGACCCAGCTGTGCTGTGCGTGCCTGAACGGTAAAATACCTCCTCCTGTGCGAGGGAGGCGTGTTGTGCCGGAGCGGCTCTGGCCACTTCTGCGGGGCGGGGAGGGATGGCTCTGGTGTCACGCTGCCTCCCGAACGTGCACGTAGCCATCATAGAGCCCGGGGCTGCCATAAAACCGTTTCCCACCGGGAGATTCCCAACTGGAACTGGCCCCTGTGCCTGCCAGGATTGGACCACCCAGATTTAGACTGCAATTTTAGAGGAGGGGGACTGGTTTTCAGACTGTGTGCACAGAAATTTCAGCACAGCGAGGCGCTGATCTCTCTTGACTACTAATAAAAATAACAACACAATAATAACAATAATAATTTATTACTAGATTGTAAAGAGACAAGTATTTCTAGTGTCCGGAAAACGAATGTTCGTTGACTTAATTCACAAATCCCACTACCATATGACTAAAGATTTGTTTCCATGAATAATTACCTGCTTGGGTACACAAATTACTGTTTGTAAGCAAACGTGAATTAGGCAGGCAAACAAGTTCAAACATATCTCCTTCTTTCCAGATACATTTTAAGAGTCATCCATGGAAAGCTTGGCCAGTAAGTAACAGACGTCACCTGAAAATAGCAAGCTAAATGTTCAGTGTACCATATATCCTGCAGTGATTAAACGAGCTTGTGATTACCTGCTTCTGAGAAATCTCCATGGTCGAGATAAATGAAGGGTGCTGAAAAATGAATTAGTAAGGTGCATTAGTTTACACGTTCCCTGTTCTTAATGAAAAAGAGAGCAGAACTTAACGTACAAAAAGCAAATAAAATTACAGATCCATTTAAACAAATATTAAAAACAAAAAAACAGAAATCACTAAATTCATGCTTCCAAAAATACCTCCCATAAATTTTCCTTGCTGCTTATGAGGCAACTGACTTGAATTCTTAGAGTTTGCAATCTATCCCATCCTGGAGACTGGCAATGAGCCTTCACATCAGCTTAAGTTCTTATTAAGCACTATTTGAAAGGCTTAGATGGCATTTAAGGGATAGATAGGCAGATCCTCTGCACCAGGATGTATTTCACTGTGATGAGAGACAGTGAAATTTTTGCCAGTGACTGATGTCACTATCGCCTAACAGAAGATGATTAATCTAAGCCTATTGTTTAATGTTAATGCAGTTCAAGGAAATAAGGGATGTTTTTTCAGCCCTTCACCCGCTCCACTTTTATGGATTTAAAAACATAGAAGTAACAGTTATAAATGTTACCAATAAAAACGTGAAGGAATGTCTGCTGAACAGGAAAAAAAAAACCCTTTTTTTTAATTTTAAATATGATATGGTACATTTGCCCTTGACGTTATGTTTTAAGAATGCAGCAAATTGGTGCACATACTGAAACTGCTGATTACTTGGCAGGCCACTGAGTAATCTTGAAATTTTCAAAGTGATATTTATAATTGGTGTCCAAGACAGTGGGAAGAAGACATGGAGATCCTTTAAATCAAAGTTTCATCATACACATGATGTATCAAAAGGCATATGGAGAAATATACTCTTTGAAATACTTATTAAAGATCCTGTCCTTACACGTGGAAAACACTGTCTCTAAGTCCCAAATTCATTTATTTAGTGTGGGCAGAAATTCTGGCTAAGACCTCGTACAGCACATAGGAGAGAGAATGTGTGAGAAAGCAATTAAAATGTCATGGATGCAGATAAAATTTGATGAAAATACAAGGTGAAAACTGAAGAAGAGCTATACAGAGTGAGAAAAAAACAAAATGAGAATGCAACGAATGAAGAAGGAACTACTAAATGGAAAAGAAAATCAGTAGGGAAGACACAGGTCTCCATTTTCCTACTGTAACAGTATGTCGATGTCAGCTTCCTCACCAGCAATGAGGTTAATCAGAAATCAGGCCTGTGCAACAGAAAGGAGGTTTGGGATTTTTACAAGCTCTATTTATGAAGAAGTCATTGGTGTTAGCAGGGCTCCGGTTACTTTTCTTCTTTATCACTCAGCCAGAATAACCAAATCAAAATGGTCAAAAACGTTGAGTCAGCCTTCACCAATAAATTAAAACACATTGATAATAAAAACTAACTTTGTTTTGTTTTCTTTATGTTTTCAATTCCTAAAATTGTTATTTTAAAGAATTTCTCTGCATCTGTGGAATTTTGTTTGTTTGTTTGTTTTAAAAAAATTATAATTGTACCAAGAATAGTCCTAAAGCTGAGGCAATAGAAAAATTGGTATTAAAAATAAAATACTACTAATAAAAAATTTGGGCTTATAATAAGATTTCAAACTAGAACAAGGCAGGATAAATGAGACTTTCTATGAGTTTGAAAAATCACGGTCTGTTTGGTTCTGGACTTTTGTCAATTGACTTACCCAAAGAATACCAAAGCATTTAAAAATTTACATAGTGTGCCTCTGGAAACTTGAATTAGTTCCAGTAAACAAACAACCAGACAGGCAAAGCCAGTTTGGGCCTTAAAGTCCCCTGAACAATATTTAATTGATGTGGTGGCTGTTAATGCTTACCTTGAATATCTGCAGCTCTTCCAGGACCACCTCCTCCTTAGTCCTCTTCTCCTTTGTGATACTCACAACTTTCAGGACTGTGCCTATGTCTGAAACAGATGTTCATCATGTAAAACCCACAATTATGTTTCAGTACACAGGTGTCACTCCATTTCATGCCCTGAAGATAAAGCTAACACATCAAGGATGTAGCCTTCAAACAAGATCTATCCCTATCTGCATCTATTGCTATCTACATAGCTCTGTACAATACCTTTATGGTTTTACTGTATGGCTGAGCCAACACAATTGTAGGCTGCTCCTGGCAGGGATGGTCTAACTCTCCTGCTACACAAACACAAACACAAACACAGACAAGCATGTCCATGCTGCCAGCTAGAAGTTTCTGCAGATTTCCTTGGGCCAGAATTTGGGCTCATCTGACCCCAAAGAGATCCAGCTTAGAGGACTAAATTGGTAGAAAATTATTTCCTCTTTTTTATAGAATTAATTTTCACCCAGTATAGCACCTTAATCAGAAGTAGGTTTCATTTTAACGTGGGGAATTAAGCAATGCACTTTTTTCATTTATCTTTTCTTTTGAGGGAAATTTTTGAACAAAATCTCCATTCAACATCAAAATCTTAATTTAATCATTACAGAAATTACTTCTTTGGAGTTATCTAGATAATTTTTTTAAGTTAAATCTGTTCATCAATTTTAACCTGAATTCCTGCTTGGTGAAAAAAATAGCTGCTCATTTCATCTCAGACCATTACACATGGGTGAATTTTGAATGGCCTTAAAAAGAACCCTTAAAAACTGCTCAGGGGAAGTGGGCTGGGTGCTGGGATGTGCAGCATGGAAATGACACAGCGCAGCTTAGTCCTAAGCACTATGCATAGTATTGAAATGATGAAAAATAATGCATTATAATGGAAAGAATGAGATTTTCATTCTTGTTTTCCCAAACTACTGAAGATCATATTACTAATCAAAGCCAAAAGTGTTTCAGTTTGCCTTATGTATTAGAGCTTTTGTTTGCTTGTTTGTTTGACGTACTGGCCAAAGCCTGCGTATGTACAAGTTGGTTGCATACATTCAAACATATAATAAGCTTCTGATCTTCTGCTGCTCAAAATCTCCTGGGTTATTTGGTATATCTGTATTCAATCTCTCTATATAATATTTGAAATTTTATCTTCGAGGGTTTTTTTTTTCCATAGGACGAGTTTAGAGGATAAAATAGAAAAAAAAACATGTGCTTTTAGAAAAGAAAACTCTCTTTTAAGGAAGGCACTGCAGATAAATAAATATCTGCATATTATGGAGTGCCACCTAGTGACTGCATGGTTCACGCTGGCCTTGACACCTCTAAACTGGACGATTTACTCCAAAAGAATTAGCATTGGTGCTGGGTAGTAACAGTTAACCTAGGAGTATTCGAGCTGCTGGTCTCTCAATATAATTTTATTCCTATGACAAACTGTATACTGGAGGATAGCAAACATCTGAAAGCAACCTCTATAGCCACTAAAAGAATATTTTGTACATCTTAACTAGTGCACTCCTTTTTTTGGACAGTTAAGTTTTAAATTACTTTTTCTCACTATTATCAGAAGAAAAGTAAGTTTTAGTGAGTACTGCCAAATCCTAGGCATCTCACAGCTTGGGAATGTGTTCCCTTTCCTCCTCTGTTGACTATATTAAAGATAACATTCAGAAAACAACAAGGATTTTCTGTCACCACAGCTAAAGCTTATTCCCAGCCTTCTCAGGCAGCAGGGGAGCAAACAGCAGTTTAATGTTCTTTTTTATGAAACTGTGCTTTTCTCTCTGACACCACTGTACTTGACTTGTGGGGATCATAGAGGGACTCTTACACCATCTTTTTTTGGAAGACAAGACTTGTGAGAGGGATTGAGCTGAAAGACATAAATGGTCCAAGAGAGAGGCTACCTCTGGACTCGCGTGTGTGATAACAGCTGGGAAGCTCTTGAAGGCTGAGATAACCCACACTTTATAAGAGGCAATGCTCTGTGACAATTCATTCCTTTCCCCAAATCATTTCAGAATATCCATACCTATGAAACTACACTATATGACGCCAAATTTGCTTATAGGCCAGAAAAAATGCTGTGCAACCCAACAGCACTGGGCTAGGATTCAAACAGAAATTTTAATTTCCCTGCAGCTCATCCACTGCCCTTGGATAAACCTTTTCACCTCCTTGTACCTTAGTTTCACCTGCTGTGAGACGGGGATAATAGCAATGACCTCCTTACTAAAGCGTTCAGATCTACCAGTGAGAAGTGCTTTATAAGACCTATTACTGGTGAGAGAACGTCAAATTGTGGATTAAGAACAAGAAATTCCAGTGAGTAAGATGCTAGATTATTACTTCAGAAATGTTATGAATAGGTATGTTAATATTTCTTAGCATACTATGCTGTTGGGTGATTCATCCAGTGATTCTAAACTGAATTACTATGGTAAAACTAGACTTTTTCCTTAAGGCATGTAACTATCATAAAAATGTGAAAAGATACATAATTATCCATAGAAAAACTGCAAAGCAGGTTTCTTCCCTGACAGAGTAGTTTAACCTCTCTGTTCAATCCTGGTCCTCTTGTTTGGAGGTATTCATGTTGCTAAGTTATATCTTTAAAAGTATTTAAGTGGAATTGTTGCCTTAGGCTCAATTTTAAATCTTTCTTAGCTGTTCAATGTCACATGAGATTTAATGGTGAAGCACCATGTCACTACTGATAACAGGAAGTACTCCCTGAAGTTAATAAAGTTATTTTTTTTTTCTTTTAATTGGTTATTGATGTGCTGCCAGCAGGAACTGGAGTCAGACTACCATGTAATGTAAAGACAGGTAGTGAATGGTACTCAGATTTTTACTCAGTAAGAAAGTCCAGGTACTCTGACCCTTAACTGGTTTATCACCTATGGACCAGGAGGCATTAAAATCCCAATAGTAGCAATCTCTTGAGCTGGCAAATTAATCTAATCTTAGCATTTGCATGAAGACCTGGTACAGAATCAGGAGCATCTAAATGCTTCCCAAAGCTGCACGTGTAGGAAAAAGATGTTAATCAACAAGTTTATTCAGGACCTGCTGGAGTAAAAGTGTTCTTAAAGGATGTGGTTTGTGCAGAATGATAGTGGAAGTCCTCTTTCATACCTGTTCCTAGGAAAATAACATCATATTGCCCATCCTCTGCCATGACGTGATCCACCACAATCTGAGTCAGACGATAGTCCACGTTGATTCGAGTGAATACCGGTCCTCCCGTCACTGGGTAAATGGATTTGTACATCAGCGGATGGCGTTTAATAAAGCTAATGACTTCATCGGGAAAGTCTCTGGTAGACTTTATGAGCGGATCGTAGGTTTTGCTTGGACACTGAACGAAAGAGAGAGAACAAGAAGATGAGAGGAATATTAGGAAAGAAGTACAAGTAATCTGCAGGATTCTTTGTGTAGTAGGAAAGGTGCCTGGTCCAGATCAGCTATATTGGTTTGCAAAGCACATTTGCCAGTGGCTGGTAATATGATTTATAATTGAAAAAGCTCAGTGTTGATTTGAAAGCATGGGAGCACACTGGCGGTGTGTGCTCCTCTGGTTCTTCAAAGGGTCGTTTTTCTCCCTCGTTTCTCCACTCTCCTCTTTTCTTTTCATTTTTGCCTCTCTTCAAAAGCTCTTCCCCTTCATCTTCATTTTTCCTTTATCCTGCTCCCACCTATTCTCCTTTATCTTTTAAAACCACCCAAAACTTGTTAACTTGTTTCATCTCACTCATTTGTACTACTGCTCAGAATTATAAATCTTCTGTTCCTGTTAGTTATATGCCCACACCTGCAACTACCTATAGATATATGCGAGCTTTGAAGAAAAATTCTTATAGGATTTTCTTCTTTCTCAGAGATTTTGATACTCTAAATTAAAACTTAGAGGGGAGATGAACTTTCTTAGCTGCTCTAAGAAACTCAGGAAAAGAAGACAACTTTAGAAAAGAGAAGTTGTCTGTTTGATGTTAGATAAAATGTTAATTAATTCATATTTATTGCATTAACATATCTGTAAACACAAACTACTAAAAGCCACACAATTTTTTTGAGTTTTATTACCAGATAGTCTTTAAGACCACAACCAAGACCCTTTATGTTTCTTCATCTAGCAGTGTTCCTGAAGAGAGTATATGTGCCTTAATAGTCATACCGCTATCACCAATAATGAAAATATATGATTGTTATTAATATTCAAGCAGTACTTTCAGTACTGTGACGCATTTTGAACTTTTCTTTTTAATCATATATTGGAGCCAGCAACATTTAGCCATAAACAATCTAATAATATAGGAAAATACCTAATTTTTCTTTAAATATTTAGAAACTACTTGTATATAATACCATAATAGATATCATCAGTGTAGGCCACTTTGGAAATTTGGTCTTATGAATAAACCACAAATTCAACCCATATTCAAGTAGAAATCAAGTTTTCTGTGAGAACACTTGTGAAACCAGTAAGAAATCAGGATGCTCAGTGGTTTTTCTCATCCGAAAGCAGCATTTGGTCACCATTATTTCATTTCTTGAAAGCATTGTTTTAAAACTGGAGAAATTCTCATGATGGGCTCAGTACATCTGCAATGAATTCCACCTCCTCGTTCCCTGCCCCACTCACAGGCGCCTTATCACATCGGATATTTTACAAAGACAAGGACATCGTCTGGAGTGAAGGAGACCTTTCATGCTGTTTAGCTCTCGTTTCAAGGCACAGGTACCAACATGCAGTTAAATTTGCTACATGGTGACCAAACTAGTGCAGGTAATGGACTTTCAACAGCAAGTCTAGAGTGCCCTCCGGTGGCTACCATGGGATAATCTCAAGTATTTAAAGTGCAGGATCACAGATCAGTTTTTCTGCTTTTTGTATTTCTGCTCCTCTTATCAAGGCCAAGTTTCTGCCCTATTGATGCAGTGAGCCAGAATTGGGTAAGATCCTCACCAGCATGCCCCAATGTTAGACTAACGCCTTGATTTCTCTTGGGAGATATGCTCAGAGTTAACTGTGGCACAATGCCCCTAGTAAATGCTTTAACCATGTTCATTTTTCCAGACTGAAACACCCTGTATATGGCCTGCAATCACAGGCCATAACTTTTCAGTGAACTGTACCTCCTACGCCTCCCGTTTATTTTTTTTCTAAAAAAAGACAGATTCTCCAGATGCCAGATGATCCCTGTAGCTCATTATTTCTCAGAAGTGACTTTCCTTACTCATCCACATAGCTGAAACTCTTGCCCAGGCCACGTCTCGGCTGCTGCAGCATCCTTTTCTCTGGCTTTGAACAGCACAGTCTCATCCTCTTCTGGTCCAGACAACTGCTACAGCGATCACTCCCTCAGACATTCCCCAGTGTCACTCTTTTATTGCTGGAGTTGGCTCCCACCTCTATTAGACCCATACTGATAAACTAATCAATTCAGCTGTTTCTTTAGCTTACACAAAGTAAGTTGATTCTCACACATCTTGCTTGAAGATCACCCACAAACCTACCTCTTCAACCTCCTTCAAATTTTTCCCTTCTGTGCCTTTTGGGGTCAGCCCAGGAACATATTTGCAAGGTCAGTCATGTTGGTGACCCATCATCTCTCATGCCCACATAACTCTGCTTTCCTTCCCATGGCTGTTTGCATTTCTTTTCTGACCCTTGTTTTACACTTAGTCTCTAATCTGAGTCTGAGAAAGCTTCTCTTTTGAATCTGGAGGCATCTAGATGTGTTAATGGGGCACTACAAATCCTGGATAATAATAAGACGAACTGGAAACACTATTCCAGTTGGTGATGTCCTTTTACATATAAACTGTTGATTGCTTCTCTTTTAACACTATTTTGAACTAAGTTATCCCTGTGTTTCCTGCCAGGTGGAGCCATAACACAGTCTGTGAAGAAAGAAATGTGATTAAGTAATGCCTTTGTAGTCTGCCAGGAGAAAGTTAAGATTTGTGGTGAAGTTGCTCTGCAATCCTCCTTCATGGCTAGTTTCGACAGAGAAGACTTTAGTTCACATTCCCAAATCTCCAGTTTGACATGTGTTCAACCTACGGTGCCAGTTAAGGGCTTGCAATTAGGATTTGTTCCACTATGTAAGGTTTGGCATTATCCAAAACATTTGCATTAGGAACACCACACACAGTGCCACGGGCTGAGCATGTCCCACCTCCATTGCTGGCAAACTCCCTTCTCACAGCTACACAACATCAGCCACTAGCAGCGAATCCGTCCCCACGGGCTCGGGACCAGCCTGGACCCTTTTCTCCCATGGGTTTCCACTGTCTGTTCTTTTCCTGGGCTGCAGGACGCGCTGTGGTAGTGCTTGTTAAAAAGGGAATGTAGCCTCTGCCCAGCGCATACGGGTATTGTGTACACATGCCTAAGGACGAATTCTTCATGTGTAAATACAGCTAATACAATGCAGAATTATGCTCATCATATACAGTTCTACGTGAACATGCACCTGTATAAATACCCTAAATGCAAAGATAATAGCAACTAGTTAAACAGAAATTTCTGACTGAGGATAACGTTGTCAAAAGTATCAGAGACTACCTGTATATTCAGAAACAAAACAGGCCAGTGAAGCACAGGCCAGCTGATATTCTACATCAACACCTACAGCCACATCTGAAATGCCTGTTGGGGGCAGTTCCTGGTCTACCTTAGACCCCAAACACTGCCACAGCACTGCCACAGGGAGGGTACCATTTGGAGCATGCCTAAACTATGGCAAAGCCTACCCTAGCACTAAACAGTACAGTGACTATGGGTCTGCACTTGAACCTGACCTCTGGTTTTATTTAGCAGAGTTGTAGCCTGAGTGATTTAAGACTCTACAACCTATTTCTATTCCTTGCTTAGGCTGATTTTTATGGCTGTCTAGAGACCTAACAGATTTTGTGCAAGTGCCCACTTGCTTAGCATTGTTTCAAGCCGTAAGAGTTAAGCCTGTGCATCCTCATCTTCATAAAGGCTCTGTAACTGCTTATTGAAAACAGGTCTTAGGCTCCTGAATCACCTAATAGATTTTGAAAACTTCTCCATGGACAGTAAACCTGTGCCCATTTGAATTAAGATATATTCCATCACATATTAAGTCATTTTGTTTCATTGTACAATTTAATATACAGCTGTGAAGTAATTGACAAGAAAAAAAAGATGGGTTTGTATTGTTGTCCTGTGGTAACTGGTCAAAGGATATCCCTTGAAAATACAGTTTAATACAAGTGAAAAAGAAGAGGAAAGTCCTATTGAAAAAAATAGTTCAATTGGAAACATATATTGCAGTGAGTTATCCCTAGGGGTTTTATGCTAGCATTTCTGTAAGAACTTCACCCTCTAGCATGCTGGATATGATCTCCCACATTCTGTTTTCTGCTGTGCTTTCACAAATTAAAGTCTTTGAAAGGTTATGCCTTTGAGGTGGGCTGTAGTGAGCTTGGTTTTTGAAGATAATGATATCAGTTAAATAATTTCACAAAGAAATATATGCTTTTGTATTATATAGCAAAAGAGACTATAGAAAGGATGAAACAAAAGAAAAACAATTTAGATTTTAGACTTTGGGGTAAAAAAATAAAAATAAAAAAATAAAGTGAACCATAATACAGGATAAATGATTCAGCACAATAACTACACAGAAATCAAATCACGTGCACACTTGCTACACTTACTACTTCAGGAATGAAAATTTCTCCTTACCTTTAGAACAACCAAGGTCTGAGTCTTTGCCACTTATGTCAGAATCAGACCTCAAAAACCCTACTGATTTCAAAAGCATGTTTATCTTTGCAGGGGTTGAACCAAAGTTTGTTGGAATCAATAGAAAGAAACACATGTGTTTTAATTGCCTTTGGATCAAAATTTTGCATCAGTATATTCTATATTGGATGAGAAACAAATTCAGTTCTTCACTTCCCCAACCATGCAATAACTCTCTTCCCCCTCACTGTGTACTAGAGGTTTATTTTCCCTTATATGTGCATTTTCTGTGGTTCATGTACTCATTTGCTACTCTGAGTTACAGTCCGCATCTTCTGGAAATTCACTGATTGCTCACCTATTCACAACTCAATCCCAGAAGTCTATTTCTATGTGAAAAATGGGAGTACCCCCACGGGTTTTAAAGATGTCCTAGATTTTTGCCAAAAATGCGTCAACAGAGGAAGACGAGAGCAATGACATCACTTACTAAAAACCACTAGGATAAAATGTCTACCAATATGGCACTATAAAGTCGTTACAGTAATCCCAAAGGCCCAAACCCTACCATGCATGATATAGAGAAATCCTTGCCAGCTTGCGCAAGGACTGAAGGTCTGATCCAAAGATCCGCTTGA